AATCCACCATGACATGAACAAGCAGAAAGATTAGCGCCCCAACCGAAAAATATATGGTAAATACAAAAAGGTTTTAAGAGACACGGTGGTTAGAATGGCAATATCCAATATAAGTTGAATAGAATTTCTGGAAGAATGGGGAAGTAGTATATTACAAAACTTTTGTAATATACAACTAATTATGTAACTAATAATTTTCAGAATCAAAGAAAGATACAAATTCAAAGCATGAGCACCAAGTAGATAAATAAAAGAACACCAAGATACAGTGGTGAAACTGCACTATAGCCAAAACAAACTCTTGAAAGCAGCTAGACCTGATCACAAAGAAATAGTGATTAGACTGACAAATGATTTTTCATTAGTTTCCATATATGGAGTCCAGATGACAATGAACTTAATACCTTCAAATGCTCAGATAAGATCAATGTTAGTCTAGAATTCTATAAGTCAATTAAAATATCATTTTAAGAATGAGGGTAAAATAAGTATATTTTTTTAAAAATGGAGAACAAGAGTCCCTTGGCACCTGGGTGGCTCATCCAGTTAAACTTTGAATTCTTGATTTCAGCTCAGTTCATTATCTCAGGGTCGTGAGATTGAGCCCCACATCAGGGTTTGTGCTCAACAGGCAATCGGCTTGAGATTTTCTGTCTCCCTCTCCCTCTGCCCCTTCCCCTTCCTCTGTCTCTCTAAAATAAATAAACCTTAAAAGAAAGAAAGGAAAAAAAAAAAAAAAAAAAAGAACAAGAGTCTCTTGTTAAATAACTCTGAAAGGATGCATGTGAAAAAGAATTTTCATTCAGAAGATAATGCTGGGACATAAGAAATAATCAATAAACACATTGATCTGCTTTAAAAAAACGAAACAGAACAATGATTATCAAGTTTGGGGCAGTGAGTGGTTCACAAGCTTTTAGATTTTTGTAGGCAAGGGAAATTTCTCCCTGAAAATAAGCAAACCAACACACGGTTGTCAACTTTTAATTTTGCCAAGTAGAAACATTTTGTCAAGACTGCCATTAACATACACCCAAAAACCCTGCTCTCAGGGACCTTACAGTCTATTGTAATACCTTAAAAGTAAAAAGAATAAAACTAATAAATAAGAAGAATCGGTTAAAATAAGAAATTTAGTTTCATTTTAAAAGATTTAACCACATTGATATCACTCTTCTAATTTTGTCACAGAATATTAAAAACTACATAGAGCAGTACAAATCCATGGCATTTAAGCTCTATGTCTCATTGTACCCTACCTTCTCCCTGGTTTCTGTAAATTCTTTGATAATGTTATTTTTTCATTACACTAATATAATGCCTGGTGAATAGTAGGTGTTCAAGAAATATTCTTGAATGAATGGGAAATAGTGTTTTGTTTTACCAGGCAATCCTCCCAGTTGGTTAGAAGTTGAGCGCATGAAATTTGAGAGTCTATTTCCAAATTTCCCTTAGTGAAGACTGTTGATAACTTCACTCTCCTTCCTTAAACTCAAGGGCAAGCACAGAGACCAAAATTTCTCCTAGAGAGTCTTCCCAAAATAAATTGTAGGGTTGGAGAAGGGAATCACTCTAACATAAGCAATGGTTTATTAGTTCATAGAAGTCATAAGAGTAATCTTAATAAATCTTAACTTCTCCTATAAAGAAATATGAGTATGTGAAAGAGAACTATGCTCTTCTTGAGCTAAGATGGTGGATAGTCCAAAAAATCATCAATCTTTCTCACTGACTATACTCTATCATCTTATTTATTTTATTTCAGGAATAACCTACTATGATGGTTGTTGTACAAATTCTTCAAGAGCCAAAAAACTTCAGAATGCATTTAAATTACTAGTGAACCAGCTTGGAACCTTAGGGTGCTTATTTGGCAGCTGATACACCTATGTATATACCCATGCAAATATATCTTCCATGTTCTAGGATCCAGCAGTTTAAAGAAGGGTATTTCTGAATGTACAAATATGTTCTCTGGGTGCCTGGGTGGCTCAGTTGGTTAAGTGTCTGACTCTTGATTTGGGCTCACGTCATGATCTCGGGGTCATGGGATTGAGCCCCTCGTGGGGTTTTGTGCTCAGCATGGAATCTGCTTGAGATTCTCTCCTTCGCCTTCATTCTCCCCCTCTGCACCTCCCACTCACTTATGACCACACTGTCTCTCTCTCTTTCTCTCTAAATTAAATAAATAAAATCTTTTTTTAAAAAAAAGGAAAAATTCTCATGTTCTTTCAGGTACTGTGCCTCTTGCTATCTTAGTATGAAATAAAATTTTCTTAGTTTTCATCTTTCAAGTGAATATTTTTTTTTTATCTTGCAAAATCTTAACTGAGATGTCATGATCTTTATTATCCAAGTTGACATTCTAGATAAGAGATCTATTTGAAAACTCTTCAGAGCCTTTTCTGAGAATAGTTTAACATCTTGGGAGTATTTCCTATACATAGATTTATAGTCCCGTGCTTTAGCCTGTAATTTGTGGGAAGTTAATGCCCTAGCAAAATTCCAATCCCCAGGAGTCCACTAGGTAATAAAGTCCTGTTAGCAGTGGGAAACTACCTTTCAAAATGTGTTATTCTCTATAGGATAAGAAGGCTCTATCAAAGGCTGTACTGTGAATCTTGAGATTAAAGTTTTGGAAAAAATATCTTGAGCCCTTGCCATTTTGGGTAGAGATTTTCAAGGCACTTTTAGCAAAAAGAGTTTCTCTAAGTTGACCTCTTACTGTGTTTTCCTAATAGAAACTATGAACATTGTCCTTTTCAGTGACAGAATTTTCATTTCAGAGTTCTATCTAAACTTCAGGCTTCTTTTACTTCTGTCTAAAGTAAGATTTAGACCTAATAAAAATCATAAAAGATCAGGAGTATAGTCCAAGATTATGGATAATTTTTTTTGTAATCTCTTAATACATTTTTAAAGTAATGTTTTTCTGTTTTAGTGAACACATTTTTCTTTGAATATGGATATTTTTGAGGTATGGGATAGTATTTTAAGATCCTAAAATGTTAGTCCTACTGTTTTTCTAATATTAAACTGAAATAATATATTTAGGAACATACATTAAGAAACTGTCTCCTATAGGAAAAGAACACTAAAATAGTATAAATAACTTTCTCATAAAAGAGAAACTGAAACTTTAAAGAAAGTAGAAAGTACATTGAGTTGTAAGAACAGGAAAATTATATTATGATCTATAGTACACGTTGTTTATCTTTTGTAATGTTTTACCTCTCTTCTAGCTCAGTAGTTCTCCAAATAGAGTTTAAAGTAGATAATAAAGTAAAGTAGTTATAGAGTAGATTTATTCAGAAGCATTTTTAAAGTCTAATAGAGGGGAGCCTGGGTAGCTCAGTTGGTTAAGCATATGCCTTTGGCTCTGGTCATGATACCAGCATCCTGGGATGGAGCCCTGCATGGGGCTCCCTACTCAGCAGGGACTGTGCTTCTCCTTCTATCTCTGCCCACCCCCCCTCCCCAACTCATGTGTGAGCTCTCTCTTTCTGTGTCTCTCAAATACATAAATAAAAAACTTTTTAAAAAAGCCTAATAGAAATTATATGTCTCCTTTTGTGCCTGGTGGAAGGGAGCATCCTAAAGAGGAGCCCAGAGAAATCCTCTCAATGTTATACCCTGTGGGGCATTTCCACAATGAACCAATGAATTAAATAATTTACCATTTCATTTCTGAACTGTGTTTATTTGACATAAGGTTTTATAATGATGTTTTGAGAGTAAAAAGAGCAGTTGGGGAATAATAGCAATGAAAGTGAATGTTATACATAATTTTATCTTTGCTCTCCAGATTAATATATTTTTATTTCAAATATATGTGTTTTATACTAAATGGTTTTGGTTTAATTTCAAAACTTATAATATCAGTAATGATGCTAGTCAGTGATCATATATTTAAAAAACTGAAAAATTTGAGTATTTTCTTCAAAGAAATCATAGTAAAGAAGACAAGTCAGCTTTAAACAACATCTGAAATATGTCAGTTATGAAAATGACACATAAGAGCAGCATTTGTTGAAAACCACATTTCCCTTTCATTGCAGGTGGGCTACACTGATGATCTACAAATAACATTGCTAGATTGTTCTTTATGAATTTTAGAAATAACTCCCTGTCCTTGCCCATGGTCTCTCTCTCTCTTTTTTTTTCTTTTTAAAATGGTATTTGAATATTACAGTAGGTCTAGGAAGTCATCCCATGGTAACACTTTATTAACAATTGGTAAGTTTGTACAATTGTATATTCTTAAGAATAATAAACATATTTCCTTTCTACATATTCATCCATTCTCCCTACTCTTTTTTTAAAAGAAATTTTGAACAGATTTTTTAAAAAAAGATTTTATTTATTTATTTGACAGAGATCACAAGTAGGCAGAGAGGCAGGCAGAGAGAGAGAGAGAGAGAGAGAGAGAGAGGAGGAAGCAGACTCCCTGCTGAGCAGAGCGCCATGAGGGGCTCGATCCCAGGACCCTAGGATCATGACCTGAGCCGAAAGCAGAGGCTTTAACCCACTGAGCCACCCAGGCGCCCCTCCAATCTTTGATAATAATGAAATTTCTTCTTCTTTTTTTTTTTTAAAGAACTCTTTTTTAAAGATTTTATCTTTAAGCAATCTCTACACCCATTGTGGGCCTTGAACTCACAACCCTGAGATCAAGAGTTGCAAGTTCTACCGACTGAGCCAGCCAGATGCACCAGGGCATTAGTGAAATTTCTACACACTGTTTTTTATAGATCCTAATTTAAAAAACTAAGTATTATTTATCCACTAAAATAAGAATTATAAAGAAAAATAAATGATTCTGCAAAACGGGTAACAGTATCTTGCACAAGAATCTTCATCTTTTATGCTTCAATAGCAGAAAAACACCTGGGATGTCTTTTTAAAATAATGCCAAGTGCACATATGTATATTTTATGGAAGAAGTAGACATGATTTTAGTCTCTACTTCTGATCAACTTGCTTTTTGCCTTCTTTCCTAGGAAGTGTGTAGAGAGCTCTGGTGTCTCAGCAAAAGCAACCGCTGTGTCACCAACAGTATTCCAGCAGCTGAAGGAACACTCTGTCAAACTGGGAATATTGAAAAGGGGGTAAGCTCAAATGATTTATTATCTATTTGACAAGTAGACTGATCCATTTCTGGTGTTGGTAGTCAACCCCTAGAAAATCATGCATTCTAATTTAAAATGCACTTGAGAAAATGGTAGATACGTTGCCTGATGAATTAATTGGTACATACAGGTATCTGCACATTGCAACGGTTAGGAAATTACAGTGATTATTTATTTTCTAGCTCAATTGCACCTTTCTGTGCATATATATGTATATATTTGTACAGAAGATCCAATAATCTTACTGTCATATAATAAGTCTGCTTAGTCATAGAAGTTGAGGTTTCTTTCTGATAAATAATTTCCACAAATATATTTTATAACTAGAGTCAAACTAGAGTTGATTTAAAATTACAATATAAGAGAAAGGGCCAATAGTAGAGAAATAAACAATTTACTGAGCATAAAAATTGTAGCTAAATAATTTTAGTTTGATCAGTCTAGTTTTCAAAAAATATCATTATTAAGAATTGTTCCAACAAATAAGAATAGTTCATGCTATTTCTGGAATTCTTTAGGAATTGTTATATATGTGAATTCTAGAATTTATTGCTACATACTGAATTTACAATAATAACTACTACTGTCTTCTGTTCTCAGTTCTGAATTTGTCCATGTTAGTTGGGGTATTTTCAACAAAGATTACACTGAATTTCAGGTTGCAATCTGATGTTTAAATAAAAGAATGAAAGCTTTTGGGCAGCTGTCACAGTTTTATTAATCCTTGCTGACGGCTTCATTTAGGACCCGTAACCTAGTGCCATGTTGATGGCTTTTCCATGCTGAGTTTGGAAATGTTGGTAAATTGTGCTAAATGTATGAATTGATAGGGTCATTTTTAAAGGATTAAGGATCTTTTTTTGAGACATTTTACATAGCCAATAAAAATACAGAGACCTTCACACACTACCAAAAATTCTTTTTTTTTTTTCACTCAAGTAATAGAAAATATTAAGAACTGCATTCTTGAAACAACAGTCTAGGTTTACTTTGGAGTCAGCAGTTCTTGTCAAAGACAAGTAGCGATTTACATCAATCTGTACTTAGAAGAAATACATAATAGTAAAGGGGAGAAAGTTATAGTGAGAATCTCTTTCTTTATTGGCCCTTGATTGATTATTATTCTTTTTTTTTGATTGATTATTATTCTTTTGATCTAGTCCATGGGCCACAGTTTCTTTTTGCCGAGAATAATATCACCACTAAACTTGATGGCTCTTTTTATTTTTACTTTATTTTTAAATCCCAAGCATAAAAAGTTAATTATTTTAAACATCTTGCAGTCCTCCTACTAGCATTCTATAAATTTATATAATCACTTCAAGTAAGGAAACCACGAGTAGTGGCTATCTGAGAACACATAGCTCAACCCCACTAATCATTTATATGGTAGACACATATTTAATATCTTATCATTTGTGCTTAATATTAGGACCCTCAAATGTTATATCTTACAGCTATTTGCATATATATGATAGAGGTGATTTTTTTTTAATTACTGACAGTTTTGAGGGATACCAAGAAAACACTCTCAATAATATTAAAGCTAACAGTATCAAATTTAAATTTAGATAAATAAATAGAGATATAATACTTTAAAGCATACACACAAATAAGCACAGACAGGAGAAAGTGAATAAAATGGGACAAAAATATATTTGATTTCTTAAGATACACATTCTTTTTTTAGAGCTTGTTTAAGTAATCTCTACACCAAGCATGTGGCTTAAACTCATGACCCTGAGATTAGGAGTGGTATGCTCTTCAGACTGAACCAGCCAGGCACCCCCAAATATTCACATTCTTAATTTTGGTTAATGGTTGTCAACTTTTTGATCTCTAAATCCTTTCTTCAAATGAAGTCTATAGAATTCTGACATGTACATTTGAAAAAATGGAAATACTCTTTTTTTTTAATTTTTTTATTTTTTTATAAACATGTAATGTATTATTAGCCCCAGGGGTACAGGTCTGTGAATCGCCAGGTTTATACACTTCTCAGCACTCACCAGGAAATACTCTTGTTAAAAGAACTCCTTGCCTACCTCCTTACCCTGTCCTTGGACCCTTGTCAGCTTCTAACATGCCTCAACAAAACATCTTGGACTCCACAAAAAACTATTTAAGAACTTTGTGAGTATACAAAGTTTGTGTATGAAGAGATCATTCATATTCACAACATCATAGTTTAATGTAGTCAATATGTTGGATTTCACCATCTAAAATTAATTTACAGGGCTCCAGGCTAGGGATAAAGCCTACTTTAAATAAATAAATAAATAAAAATAAGATTAAGCTACCAAGCAAATAATAGCCATTCTTTCAGAGATGTGGAAGATCAATAGACAATTTATGAAAGTGACTAACAAATCTTAAATGAGTGAATGAAAAGAACAAATACATATGCAAACTTGAAAGGAAAAGGGCAGAGTGCTGGAAGAAGACTCTCAACCTATTATTGTTAACAGTGAATTTATGAAAAGGCTTTCAAAGTACCAGATCAAACTACATGTTTAAGAGAAAAAAATACAAAGACCTAGAAATGGAGGCTGACCCATTCTTTATTTTTTAGCTTTTACTAACTGCATTTGCCATGTTATTTATTTACGGATTTTTGTTGTTGATTTCAGTTATTTTTTTTTTTCTTAAAAGGGAAACATATTTACTTTCCCCAAATACAGATTTTTCTCTTAAGGCTATATCTATTTGGAAATTAAACCAGAACTCAAAAATAACCAAAAAAAAAAAAAAAAAAAGAATGAAATTAAACCAGAACTCAGAATTTTTACTCCAACCGAAACAGCCATGCAAAGAGCTAGTGACACAGTTAAATTAGAAATTTCAATTGGTCTAGTCAATTTTGTGTGGCATTAAAATATAGTTGGCATTATCAGTATCTATGATGGTGATGATGATGATGATGATGATGATGATAATAATGAAAATTTTTAAAGTATTTATGCTGTGCCAGGCACATATTTGTTCTGTTTAATATTGGCAAAAATCCTATGGAGGGGGTACTGTTTAACCCCATTTTACAGATGGGGAGAGTAAGACTTGAAAGCCTAAGATTACACAGCCATTTAAAATTAGAGCTAAGACTGCAACCCACACCTTTCTGATTCCAAAGTTGAAACTTTGCCCCTCTACACTGCCTCTGATTTTACCTTCCCCTCAGATAGGAAATTTTGCAGAGAAAAAAGCAAATTTTTGTTGTCACAGAAATAAATGAGTCACTGAGCCTGAGATTGGTGGTGACAATGTATTTTACCCTTTAATGTTAAGTGGATTTTTCACTTATCTACCTGTAACAATTCATTATCTCAGGAATTACAATGAGAAAACACTGTGAGCAGAACATTGAGGTAAGAACATACAATTGTGTTACAATTGGCAAAATAATAAATCTCCACTTTAAAACAAGAGAGATCTGGGACTCCTGGGTGGCTCAGTGTGTAGGGCTTTCGTTTGGCTGGGGTCATAATCCCAGGGTCCTGGGATGAGTCCCATATCCAGCTCCTTGCTCAGCGGGGTGTCTGCTTCTCCCTCTGCCCACCACTTCTCCTGCTTGTGCTCTTTCTCTGACAAATAAATAGAGAAATAAAATCTTAAAAAGAGAGAGAGAGGTGGAGATCTTGTAAGGATGGAATAAGAAGATATCTCAGTAAACATTTTGTGGGCTTTCTTAGTGGGAAGGTGCCAGTGTATATTACTAGGGCATCATCATTCATTTCCTTATTATTTTTCAACCTTAGATGGTGGTGGGCAGAAAATTCTTCACCAGACTATCTTAACTGGCACTAATGAGCATCGGAAAGTATAAGCATGAGGGTGTGTGTCTCAGAAACATGAATGGAATACCCATGGCTTACCTCTGTTCTTAACTTTGAATTTCAAAACTACTGTCTTCAAAAGGAACAATAAAAAAACCTATATCCTATGTAGCCAGCAGGATAAAACCAAAGCTGCTCATAGTTTTTTGAATAAATACTTAAAAAAAAAAAAAGTTGGGGGAGGGGAGAAATATTGCTCAAGTGATAGCATAGACATATCCAGAGGACTGGATCCACAATGATCTCGTCAAACTCTGGCTGCAAAAGATATGGGATCCCTGCCCGGGGGCGCAGTTCCACAAATGTTCCATGTAAGTATGGGAACTGTTCCATGCACATTTAGCAGATGGAGTAAGAAATATGGCCAAAAAATTAAAAACTGATCTTTGCGTGAGTCCTGGGGGGTCTGACATCGCTATTACAGCCATTGGATGTTTGCCTGAATAAGCCATTCAAGTATTGAATAAGAACCATATGGTCTGAATGGATGTGCTCAGGGACAGTAGCATTAACCAAAGGAGGAAATTTGATGAGCCCAGACTGTGCACTGGCACTGTGCGTCCACAGGTCACACTCCTACAAATCAATCAAGATAGCTCTCAGCCAAAAGAACTTTCCTTAGACATGGCATCAACAATAGCTCTTTGCACAGGAATCAGAGGGATGCCATACATGATAAAATAATAAAGATTTAGACTGTAAAAACTCTGGTAGTAGTGTTGGCATTGTTACTGAGCAGGATACTAAGGAAAATCAAAACTCAATCTTTACGAGGTCTGATGGTGACCAAAGAAGTTTCCAATACTTGGTTTACTGCCAAAAGGTTCATTTAATGATTCTACAAGACCAATTAGAGATATAGCCCAGGATTTAGGACTACACCTATATAACATTGATTCCTAGTATCTTTGCATGGGAAACATAGGACTGGATTAAAATAGGATTATTATATACCCTTTTAAAGCACTAGATATGTAATAGGACATTTGCAGCCCTAGATCTTAATTCACTTGAGAGTAGAATATATGTTTTGACTGGGTCCCAAACTATAAACACAGGAAGTGAAAAAACAATATTCCTTTCAGTTGCTCTAGAAATTTAAATAGTATGGGATGACAAGTTCTGATTTAGAATTTGGGCTGAAAT